GGGGGAAGAGACTCTATCTCTTCATTTGACAGCACAAGCTAAGCTAACTGATAATTGTATTTGTGGTCGTAATTTAAGTAAAGGTTCCAATTTTGTAAGGGCACACGGGGGATTTTTTTTTGGTCTCTCATAAAGACAATTTACATTTAGTTGCAAAGTCTGTTAGGCTTTCAATTTGAGATTAAGACTCTTCATGTAGAAATTACAAAAAATAATTTCGTAATTGTGGTCCTTCAATAAAGATAAATCTTTCATGCCCCAAAGAATTGCTTGCTTTTCACTAGTCAACAATGGAATTGTTTTTGCTACCACTTTCCACAATCTAAAGGTTCCTCCATTAACTTTTGGGAATGAAGCATAAACATGTTAAATGATAAAAATCACATATCGAGTAAAGATGAAAATATAGACCAACTTATAAAGAATTGAATTACTTATTTTAATAAGGTTGACCTTGAAAATGGAATCTCAAATCTTAACATGGTATCAGAGCTCATTAAGTTTCAAAGAGCAATTTGATCCGATTAAAACTCAAAAAAATGAGCATATGAATTTCAAGATTGACCTGCTCAAAATGAGCCACCATCTTGTGCATTATTAACATTACTACTCTTATGTATTACATGTGACCTTAATATTATCTAGTTTTTACGAAAGTTGTATCTCAGTATTTAAATCTCTGAAACCACTAAATTGATTTAGAAGACGCAAAAAGGCACTTTTAAGTTTTGCTGTATATACTTTCAATGGAATCGGACGATTACCATTTGGGTTAATAGAATGAACTGAAGTATATAATATATAATTTGGGTGAAAGGTATTATTGAAACTATACAAAGAAATAAGAGTGCTCACAGTCATTATCTGTCCCTATTTAATGCTATTTTTGTTGTTTCCCCTAAATTTGTTTGGTGTGATAATACTGTTGAATTATTGCAGATAACATGCTATGAATATAGCATTATTCAATAAAAAGTGCTCCTTTAACTAGCTCATTGTATAATAATAATAATAATATGGGTGTATATGATTTCAAACGATCAGAAAAATATCCTGGAGAACATTATGGAATTACTGTTTCAGAGAATATTATGAAATGATTTCCACATATATGTAGCACCCCGTCAAATTGAGGGCTCAAGGTAGGGGCTAACAAAACAACTTTCAATTCGTCAAACAGAATCGAAATCGCGATTTTGCAATTGTTGGTTTGGGCTATGTCATTTGGGTTTCGAATGTTTATATCGGAAATGATTTCCTAAACACAAGGTGACGTATCATACTACAATAAATGGTGTAATTAGTTTTCTAACCAACCATTATCTTTCACCACCTCTTTAAATTAAATTGCAAGCTTATATTTTGTTGTTGAACCTCATCTTAATTTATTAGATTAGCTTGTGTTGATACAATATATGAGCATTGTTATGTTTGTGTTTATGTTCACAAGGTTTCAATTTAAACCCTTGGGAGTGAATCTCTTCAGATTTTAAGCGAAAAATAGAACATTATAATAGCCCTGCTGAAGAGAATTGAATGCAAAAATAAAGGGGCACATAAGTCTTTCTTCAGTCCACTTTAATTGTTTGGTAAAGAAGCAATATTTATTTTTTATTTGTTTGAAAGATGTTATTTTTATGTGGATAAAATCGTGGTTTGCGATCAAATTAAACCGAGAATAGTTCAAATCAATCAAAATCGAACCGTATTAACTCTTGCATGAAAGGGTACTTCACCACATCAGTATTTACAATGATTAGAGACTAATCTTATTAAATGAAGTGAAGGTGATACGAAGAAAGGCTACTTGATTTTGTTACAGTATTCCTATTTACTCGTTGAATCAGCACTCCATTTAAAAAAGGTGAAGAAACCATTTGGCCTATTAGAAAACCCTTGCACTAATGGATGCTAAGACCATAGAAGTGAAACAACTTGACATGGTATAGCACTGAAGCAAAAACATGGATAAGGCCTTTTTCGAAAAATATATTTATTTTGGTTTTGATAGGACTCTTTACAAGCATAACTAAGTTATTGATGATGGTATTGAACCAATTTTCCTGTGTAAACTAGCAGTGAAGATTTCTTCTAGGTTTATGGTCAAATTGCATGGAAGCTCCGATTGTGTTAACTGGCAAATATTTTAGTGTTCTTAAGTAGCATTCTTACGAGACTGACATATCTTGTTACCAAACGTCTGTTGTGCCTCCTTTGTGAGAATTCAGCAAAAATCTCGAATCACCGGGTAATTTACGTTACGAAGTCCCAAGCTTCTTGTTGATTCAGCCGATGCCTGGTAATTAGATTAGGATTGACAGTTTTGTTATACATTCTATTGCTAATGGACACACTATGATTTTCAATTGCTAAGTTCTTGAAAAATGTATCAAGAATCTCTTTAGTGTAGCATGCTGTTGTGTGGTCTTACATTGAGTGAAACCAATCTTGAGGTAAACAAGGTACTCGTGTAAGCGATTAAACCATAATATCAAGATCTTTAGGATTTTATGATTTTCACATATAATTAAATTTATTAAGAAACATACTTGATTCATAGCGATTAATTGGAAGATATGAATATGCAAAAATAGAAACAAGATAAACAAAGAAACTACTCTCTCTTTACCTATGTAATTCAATGTTATTAATTGATGGGATTAATTCATGTTTATTGGCAGAGGGAGATAGTTTTTTCATGGGCCTTAAAACTGCACACTTTCCATCAAAGTGTACAGTTAAGAAACCGTCATTTCTCAATGGGTCATAAGATTTTAACAATATTAAACCATTTTAATTAATTCTTAATAATATTACATAAACCACATTAATTGGTCTTACAGCTTGCTCATAAAAGAATTTTTCTTAAGATCTTGTCCCATTTAGATGGATTCGGTATCTTAAAATTGTTGCATTTGAAAAGGAAATGAAATAGAAATATCTAAACGTGAAGTTTTACCTAAATTATTTGCTTGATTTAATTTCAAACCCAGAATCGTAATACATATGTACAGGGTTGGTTGCTGTACTCTTAGGAGTGTGTCATATACAATAAAACCAGTTAATAGTGGAAGGGATACTCTTAACATTGTCGATGCTATTAGCCAGAAAGTAGGGCTTACATCATACTTTTCGTTCTCTTTACATCTGCAAAGCCAGCTCTGCCATAATTCATTAACAAGATATAATGCTGCTAGTGTGATTGAAATTGAAAATGTTAACAATATGAGACTATCGATCAAAAGAACGAGGTTCATCCAATTCTTGTATCGATTCTTTATCCATAGTTTGCTCTCCTTGTAAGGAAAATATTAGAGAACAAATTGTAGAAATTTAGTCACCTAAAGAGCCAGGTGGAGGTGGTGGTGGTGCCGACAGAACTGGAACAGAATGATGGGGAAAATGATGATGATTGTATCAAGTGGCTGAAGAGATTTGCAGAGAAGTGCCTTGAGATTCAGGTACTTCTCTGTGGATAACTTGTAACCTGTGGGTATTCTAAACAAATTTTCCAGAGAATGCAAAAGCGTCTAAACATTATAAAATTCATCTTGGCTTCAAAGTTTGAAATTAACTTTTGGATTCCTTCATCTTAATGTTTTTAAATGATTTATACAAATCAATTTCAACTCATTAAAGCAACTTCACTGA